ACCAGGCCGTGATGTCATGGTGGGGATCATGCTCGGTACCCACACAGATGGCAACCCCCAACACGCATCCCCATGTAGAGGAAATCAGAAGCTCCCTCCATTCAGGGGTACTTACCACCAATGGCCCCCTTCCACATACCAGGCCGTGATGTCATGGTGGGGATCATGCTCGGTACCCACCACAGATGGCAACCCCCAACACGCATCCCCATGTAGAGGAAATCAGAAGCTCCCTCCATTCAGGGGTACTTACCACCAATGGCCCCCTTCCACAGACCAGGCCGTGATGTCATGGTGGGGATCATGCTCGGTACCCACCACAGATGGCAACCCCCCAACACGCATCCCCATGTAGAGGAAATCAGAAGCTCCCTCCATTCAGGGGTTCTTACCACCAATGGTCCCCTTCCACATACCAGGCCGTGATGTCATGGTGGGGATCATGCTCGGTACCCACCACAGATGGCAACCCCCAACACGCATCCCCATGTAGAGGAAAATCAGAAGCTCCCTCCATTCAGGGGTTCTTACCACCAATGGTCCCCTTCCACATACCAGGCCGTGATGTCATGGTGGGGATCATGCTCGGTACCCACCACAGATGGCAACCCCCAACACGCATCCCCATGTAGAGGAAATCAGAAGCTCCCTCCATTCAGGGGTACTTACCACCAATGGCCCCCTTCCACAGACCAGGCCGTGATGTCATGGTGGGGATCATGCTCGGTACCCACCACAGATGGCAAACCCCAACACGCACCCCATGTAGAGGAAATCAGAAGCTCCCATTCAGGGGTACTTACCACCAATGGTCCCCTTCCACAGACCAGGCCGTGATGTCATGGTGGGGATCATGCTCGGGTACCCACCACAGATGGCAACCCCCAACACGCAGCCCCATGTAGAGGAAATCAGAAGCTCCCATTCAGGGTACTTACCACCGAGAAGTTCCTTGGGCCGCACTCCTTGTTTCGATAGCGGCACGATAGGATCATATCGTCCAGAGAGTGGCCGGTCCGGTCAAAGAACTCCTGCATGTTGATCTTCACGGCATCGAACTTCTCGTTTTTCAGATTCAGATTGGCAATGGCCTCCTCTTTTCTGTCCTCCCAGCCCAGGAACTTGTCCAGCCACTCCAGGTCGTTGCGGGTCAGCTTGCTCTTCCGGAAACTGTTGTAGTTACAGATGGTGATGGCTGGGAAGGTCATGAGTTGGCTTTCTTCCTCATCGAGCGTGGTGACATGGTGGAACTCCGTGTAGTAGATGATCCGATCGGCCACTTGGAAGAGGAAGCAGCTGAGGGACGCCAGGAAGGCACAAGCCCAAAACACCCGGCGTGGGGTCACCCCTCCCGGCAGGAAGACGTGGCTGATCCCATGGAGCGTAGAGTTACTGGCGAAGGTGGTGAGATCAGAAGCCTTCGAATCGCTCTCCTCTTCCTCGGCTCCTTGTGGAGGTTTTCAGGATATCCATTGGGAGACGCTTGGATTCCTCTGTACGGGAGAGGCTGGGACTCCTCTATACGGGGAGAGGCTGGGACTCCTCTGTACGGGAGAGGCTGGGACTCCTCTATACGGGGAGAGGCTGGGACTCCTCTATACGGGGAGAGGCTGGGACTCCTCTGTTCGGAGGGAGAGGCTGGGACTCCTTTATACGGGGAGAGGCTGGGACTCCTCTATATGGGGAGAGGCTGGGACTCCTGTATGGGGAGAAGCTGGGACTCCTGTATACGGGAGAGGCTGGGACTCCTCTGTTCGGAGAGAGGCTGGGACTCCTCTATGGGGAGAGGCTGGGACTCCTCTGTACGGGGAGAGGCTGGGACTCCTGTATGGGGAGAAGCTGGGACTCCTCTGTTCGGGGAGAGGCTGGGACTCCTCTGTACGGGGAGAAGCTGGGACTCCTCTGTTCGGGGAGAAGCTGGGACTCCTCTGTACGGGGAGAAGCTGGGACTCCTATGTTCGGGGAGAGCTGGGACTCCTCTGTACGGGGAGAAGCTGGGACTCCTCTGTTCGGGGAGAAGCTGGGACTCCTCTGTTCGGGGAGAAGCTGGGGACTCCTTTGTACGGGAAGCCTGGCGTTGTCTGCAGGACAGTGAAGGGGGTCTAAGTGACTGCAGTAGATGGACCCAACTGGCAGGCAATGGACGCCCGAGTGTCTGACGGGATGCAGCTGAAGTTTGGTGTCTCTCAATCTGCGGTCTGAGAGTGAGGAGGAGGAGGAGGAGGAGGAGAGGGGGGGGCATGCTATTAGAGAGGATGGAGGACCACAGAGGGATGCTGAGGGCACCAATAATGGATGTCTCAGAAACCAAATACTTTGCATCCAGAGGACCCGAGGGGGGGGGGGGGAGGGGGAGCCGAGAGAACGAGGAACGAGAACCTGAGATAACTCAGAGAGAATGTGTCTACACCACCCCCACCAACCTGACCGATACCGAGATCTGACCCATACCGAGATCTGACCCATACCGAGATCTGACCCATACCGAGATCTGACCCATACCGAGATCTGACCCACACGAGATCTGACCGATACCGAGATCTGACCAGTAACCTGAGATAACTCAGAGAGAATGTGTCTACACCGCCCCCACCAACCTGACCCACCGATACCGAGATCTGACCAATTCTCAGTATCTGTCCAATTCTCGGCATCTGTCCTTATTCTGTATGTATGGATTCTGTGCAGTGCCACTTCTCCTGTCCCGGATGCCGGGTGTCATTCTCGGTATCTGCAGACTCCATGCAGCCGGTGAGGTGGGGGCTCAGATTTTGGGGGGATCCTCTCGGGGATGATAAAGGACACAAATCTTATGAAGACGAATATCGGTTGGAAGTCGAAGAAGATAAATCGGTGATTTCGGAGGTGATAGTGAGTGGGCTCTGCGATCGTCTGATTCCAGCGTTGGGCGCGATCACATGACGTTCCTCCGGCCAGACGCATTATGTACATTACACAAACCACACAGACTTCTTCCAGATGACGAGCCGGTTTCCTCCCGCGGAGACGGCGGAGCGCCAGGACCTCATATAATGTATATATAGCCGCGGTCAGCTCCCTCTGCGCTCTGATTGGCTGTCGAATCTTATGGATCTGATATACACATGGAAGTACACGATACTGCCCCAAATATTGTCCCCTCTCCCCCCGTATATACACTATATTCCCCCAAGTATCGGTCCACTGGCTTTTCCATGCACATGACCTTTAATGGCCCCCCAGTCTTGGTCCATAGGGTTCAATATTGAGTTGGCCCCGCCCTTTCCACGCACATGACCTTTAATGGCCCCCAGTCTTAGTACGTAGGGTTCAATATTGAGTTGGCCCCGCCCTTTCCACACACATGACCTTTAATGGCCCCCCAGTCTTAGTCCGTAGGGTTCAATATTGAGTTGGCCCCGCCCTTTCCCCACACATGACCTTTAATGGCCCCCCAGTCTTGGTCCATAGGGTTCAATATTGAGTTGGCCCCGCCCTTTCCACACACATGACCTTTAATGGCCTCCTAGTCTTAGTACGTAGGGTTCAATATTGAGTTGGCCCCGCCCTTTCCACACACACATGACCTTTAATGGTCCCCCAGTCTTAGTCCGTAGGGTTCAATATGAGTTGGCCCCACCATTTCCACGCACATGACCTTTAATGGCCCCCAGTCTTAGTACGTAGGGTTCAATATTGAGTTGGCCCCGCCCTTTCCACACACATGACCTTTAATGGCCCCCAGTCTTAGTACGTAGGGTTCAATATTGAGTTGGCCCCGCCCTTTCCACACACATGACCTTTAATGGCCCCCCAGTCTTAGTCCGTAGGGTTCAATATTGAGTTGGCCCCGCCCTTTCCACACACATGACCTTTAATTGGCCTCCCAGTCTTAGTCCGTAGGGTTCAATATTGAGTTGGCCCCGCCCTTTGCCTCTTCTGGGAAGGCCGTCCACAAGGCTTAGGAGGGTGTCTATGGGAAGGTTGGACCATTCTTCCAGAAGCACATTTGTCAGGTCAGGCACTGATGTCGGGGGAGGGGCACTGATGTCGGGGGAGGGGCACTGATGTCGGGGGAGGAGGCCTGGCTCGCAGTCTCCGCTCTAATTCATCCCAAAGGTGTTCTATGGGGTTGAGGTCAGGACTCTGTGCAGGACAGTCAAGTTCCTCCACCCCAAACTGGCTCCTCCATGTCTTTATGGACCTTGCTTTGTGCACTGGGGGGCAGTCATGTTGGAACAGGAAGGGGCCATCCCCAAACTCCTCCCACAAAGTTGGGAGCATGAAATTGTCCAAAATGTTGTCTTAAGAGTTCCCCTTCACTGGAACTAGGAGGCCAAGCCCAACCCCTGAAAAACAACCCCACACCATAATCCACCCTCCACCAAACTTTACACTTGGCACAATGCAGTCAGGCAAGTACCGTTCTCCTGGCCACCGCCAAAACCCAGACACGCCCATCGGATAGCCAGACAGAGAAGCATGATTGGTCACTCCAGAGAACACGTCTCCTCTGCTCTAGAGTCCAGTGGCAGCATGCTTTACACCACGGCATCCGACGCTTTGCATTGCACTTGGTGATGGAAGGCTTGGATGCAGCTGCTCGGCCATGGAAACCCATTCCATGGAGCTCTCTACGCACTGTTGTTGGGCTCATCTGAAGGTCACACCAAGTTTGGAGGTCTTTAGCTATTGACTCTGCAGACAGTTGGTGACTTCTGCGCACTGTGCGCTTCAGCATGCGCTGACCCCGCCCTGTCATGTGACGTGGCCTACCACTTGGTGGCTGAGTGGCTGTTGTTCCCAGTGGCTTCCACTTTGTTATAATCCCACTAACAGTTGAGCGTGGAATATTTAGTAGCCAGGAAATGTCACGGATGGACTTATTGCCCAGGTGGCCACCTATCACGGGACCACGCTTGGAGTCACTGAGCTCCTGAGAGCGACCCATTCTTTCACCAATGTTTGTAGAAGCCGTCTGCATGCCTAGGGGCTTGATTGTATACACCTGTGTCCATGGAGGGGATTGGAGCACCCGAATCACATGATATGGAGGGGATTGGAGCACCCGAATCACATGATTGGAAAGGGGATTGGAACACCTGAATCCCATGATATGGAGGGGATTGGAACACCTGAGTCACATGATATGGAGGGGATTAGAGCACCTGAATTACATGATTGGGAAGGGATTGGAACACCTGAATCACATGATATGGAAGGGATTGGAGCACCTGAATCACATGATTGGGAAGGGATTGGAACACCTGAATCACATGATATGGAAGGGATTGGAGCACCTGAATCACATGATTGGGAAGGGATTGGAACATCTGAATCACATGATATGGAGGGGATTGGAGCACCTGAATCACATGATTGGGAAGGGATTGGAACACCTGAATCACATGATTGGGAGGGGATTGGAACACCTGAATCACATGATATGGAGGGGATTTGGACACCTGAATCACATGATATGGAGGGGATTGGAACACCTGAATCACATGATTGGAAGGGGATTGGAACACCTGAATCACATGATATGGAGGGGATTGGAACACCTGAATCACATGATATGGAGGGGATTGGGACACCTGAATCACATGATATGGAGGAGATTGGGACACCTGAATCACATGATATGGAGGGGATTGGAACACCTGAATCACATGATTGGAGGGGATTGGAACACCTGAATCACATGATTGGGAGGGCGGGGCCAATACTTTGGGCAATATAGTGTATCTGACACACACCCCATGCCCCATTGGTGCCCAAAGTTGGCCATTACTCTTTATTGATATAGGACTGACACAATGAGGAGCCAAAGAAACCAAGGTGAGAGAATGCAGACAACAAGAGCTTACAATCTAAACATGAAGGAGGAAGGAGAACGGCTTCTGGGGTGATGGAGGAACTGAACGAGTGCTAACTTCTCTTTCGTGAACACTTGGAATCTTGGCCTTGGTGATTTCTGCAAGTCATGGTTGATGTTTGGAGAACCTGTGGCCAGAAGGTCCTCTTTATGTCGTCCCAACATTGGGAGGACAACATTGGGAGGACAACAATGGGAGGACAACAATGGGAGGACAACATTGGGAGGAGGACAACAATGGGAGGACAACATTGGGAGGACAACAATGGGAGGACAACATTGGGAGGACAACAATGGGAGGACAACAATGGGAGGACAACATTGGGAGGACAACATTGGGAGGACAACATTGGGAGGACAACAATGGGAGGACAACAATGGGAGGACAACATTGGGAGGACAACATTGGGAGGACAACAATGGGAGGACAACAATGGGAGGACAACATTGGGAGGACAACAATGGGAGGACAACATTGGGAGGACAACATCCCCATAGGACAACATTGGGAGGACAACAATGGGAGGACAACAATGGGAGGACAACATTGGGAGGACAACATTGGGAGGACAACATTGGGAGGACAACATCCCCATAGGACAACATTGGGAGGACAACAATGGGAGGACAACAATGGGAGGACAACAATGGGAGGACAACATTGGGAGGACAACAATGGGAGGACAACAATGGGAGGACAACATTGGGGACAACAATGGGAGGACAACATTGGGAGGACAACATCCCCATAGGACAACATTGGGAGGACAACAATGGGAGGACAACAATGGGAGGACAACATTGGGAGGACAACATTGGGAGGACAACATCCCCATAGGACAACATTGGGAGGACAACATCCCCATAGGACAACATTGGGAGGACAACATTGGGAGGACAACATCCCCATAGGACAACATTGGGAGGACAACATCCCCATAGGACAACATTGGGAGGACAACATTGGGAGGACAACATTGGGAGGACAACATTGGGAGGACAACAATGGGAGGACAACATTGGGAGGACAACAATGGGAGGACAACATTGGGAGGACAACATCCCCATAGGACAACATTGGGAGGACAACAATGGGAGGACAACAATGGGAGGACAACATTGGGAGGACAACATTGGGAGGACAACATCCCCATAGGACAACATTGGGAGGACAACAATGGGAGGACAACATTTGGAGGACAACAATGGGAGGACAACAATGGGAGGACAACATTGGGAGGACAACATCCCGATAGGACAACATTGGGAGGACAACAATGGGAGGACAACATTGGGAGGACAACATCCCCATAGGACAACATTGGGAGGACAACAATGGGAGGACAACATTGGGAGGACAACATTGGGAGGACAACATGATCACCAGATTCTTAATACTACACTTTCCATCAACGTCTGATTGGTCGATCTTCCATTGTAATACAACCTACATGACCTACAGTGAAGGAAATGTGTATTTGCTCCCCCCTGATGCTGAATGTTCGCCCCTCACACAGAAACGATCGGTCTAACAATGGAATGTTCGCCCCTCACACAGAAACGATCGGTCTAACAATGGAATGTTGGCCCCTCACACAGAAACGATCGGTCTAACAATGGAATGTTCGCCCCTTACACAGAAATGATCGGTCTAACAATGGAATGTTCGCCCCTCACACAGAAACGATCGGTCTAACAATGGAATGTTCGCCCCTCACACAGAAACGATCGGTCTAACAATGAAATGTTCGCCCCTCACACAGAAATGATCGGTCTAACAATGGAATGTTCGCCCCTCACACAGAAATGATCGGTCTAACAATGGAATGTTCGCCCTTCACACAGAAACGATCGGTCTAACAATGGAATGTTCGCCCCTCACACAGAAACGATCGGTCTAACAATGGAATGTTCGCCCCTCACACAGAAACGATCGGTCTAACAATGGAATGTTCGCCCCTCACACAGAAATGATCGGTCTAACAATGGAATGTTCGCCCCTCACACAGAAATGATCGGTCTAACAATGGAATGTTCGCCCCTCACACAGAAACGATCGGTCTAACAATGGAATGTTCGCCCCTCACACAGAAACGATCGGTCTAACAATGGAATGTTCGCCCCTCACACAGAAACGATCGGTCTCTAACAATGGAATGTTCGGTGTAACACTTAGAGACAGAATACAACAACAAATTCAGCAGAAATGCGTCTAACAAATGATGACGGATCTGCATGTTCATGAGGGAAAGAAGGATTTGATCCCCTATCATTCAGCAGGATTTCTGGCTCCCAGGTGTCTCTCATACAGGTAACAAGCTGAGATTAGAAGCAGTCTCTTAAAGGGAGTGCTGCTAATCTCATTGTGTTACCTGTATAAAAGACACCTGTCCACAGGAGCCATCAAACCATCAGATTCCAAACTCTCCACCATGGCAAAGACCAAAGAGCTGTCCAAGGATGTCAGGGACAAGATGGTAGACCTACACAAGGCTGGACTGGGCTACCAAACTATGGCCAAGCAGCTTGGTGAGAAGGTGACAACAGTTGGTGCAATCATTCACAAATGGAAGAAACACAAAACAAGTGTCAGTCTCCCTAGGTCTGGTGCACCATGCAAGATCTCACCTCGTGGAGTGTCAATGATCATGAGAACAGTGAGGAATCATCCCAGAACTACACGTGAGGATCTTGTCAATGATCTCCAGGCAGCTGGGACCACAGTCACCAAGAAAACAATTGGTAACACACTACGCCGACAAGGACTGAAATCCTGCAGTGCCCGCACGGTCCCTCTGCTCAAGAAAGCCCATGTCCAGGCCCGTCTGAAGTCTGCCACTGAACATCTGAATGATGCCGAGGAGAACTGGTGGGAAGTGTTGTGGTCAGAGGAGACCAAAATCCAGCTCTTTGGCGTCAACTTGCCGTGTTTGGAGGAGGAGGAATGCTGCCTATGACCCCAAGAACACCATCCCAACTGTGAAACATGGTGGTGGTGGAAACATTCTGCTTTGGGGGGGTTTCTGCTAAGGGGACAGGACAACTGCACCGCATCAAAGGGACGATGGACGGGGCAATGTACCCTCAAATCTTGGGTGAGAACCTTCTTCCCTCAGCCAGGGCATTGAAAAAATGGGTGGTGGATGGGTGTTCCAGCATGACAATGACCCAAAACACACGGCCAAGGCAACAAAGGAGCGGCTCAAGAAGAAGCACATTGAGGTCCCGGAGTGGCCTAGCCAGTCTCCACACCTTCATCCGATTGAAAATCTGTGGAGGAGCTGAAAGTTCGAGTTGCCAAACGTCAGCCACCAAACCTTAATGACTTGGAGAGGATCTGCCAAGAGGAGTGGGCCAAAATCCCTCCTGAGATGTGTGCGAACCTGGGGGCCAACTCCAGGAAACCTCTGACCTCTGTGATTGCCAACAAGGGATTGGCCACCAAGTACTAAGTCATGTTTTGTGAAGGGGATCAAATCCTTCTTTCCCTCATGAACATGCAGATCAGTCATCATTTGTTAGACGCATTTCTGCTGAATTTGTTGTTGTATTCTGTCTCTCAGTGTTACACCGAACATTCCATTGTTAGACCGATCATTTCTGTGTGAGGGGCGAACATTCCATTGTTAGACCGATCGTTTCTGTGTGAGGGGGAACATTCCATTGTTAGACCGATCATTTCTGTGTGAGGGGCGAACATTCCATTGTTAGACCGATCGTTTCTGTTTCTGTGAGGGGCGAACATTCCATTGTTAGACCGATCGTTTCTGTGTGAGGGGCGAACATTCCATTGTTAGACCGATCATTTCTGTGTGAGGGGCGAACATTCCATTGTTAGACCGATCATTTCTGTGTGAGGGGGCGAACATTCCATTGTTAGACCGATCATTTCTGTGTGAGGGGCGAACATTCCATTGTTAGACCGATCATTTCTGTGTGAGGGGCGAACATTCCATTGTTAGACCGATCGTTTCTGTGTGAGGGGCAAACATTCCATTGTTAGACCGATCGTTTCTGTGTGAGGGGCGAACATTCCATTGTTAGACCGATCGTTTCTGTGTGAGGGGCGAACGTTCCATTGTTAGACCGATCGTTTCTGTGTGAGGGGCGAACATTCACCATCAGGGGAGTAAATACGCATTTCCTTCAGTGTGTGTCACTCTGTGTATCTAAAAGCCAAACACATCGAATTAACCAGAAGGAATTCTCCATCATCCCGGAGTCGGCCTGCTCTCTGCACAGCCATATAATAGACCAAGGTAGGTATCTGTACCTGGACTGAAAAAATCCCCCAACATGAGGTTCAGGTGTGCTGGGGAGAGGGCAGGTGGACAGCTCAGGTTTGGGTGTTTAGCAGTTGTGTGGCTCTCCAACAGTGCCGGAACACCGGAATAGGTCAGCAGAGGTGCCATGAGATGTCCTTGGGGTCCCAGCAGGGGGATGACTAGTCATTGTTAATCCAGGGTTGGTCCATTTTAATGAAGGTGACGGAACAGGTGGAACTCCAGAACAAAAGGCCCATCAGACAGAACGTACCGTGCCAGCTCCGGGCCCGTGGTCCAGCCTGGACACCCAATAGTCCACCAACATTGGTGGTCAGTGGGAAGAATGTCCCTTACATTGGGGGTCAGTGGGAAGAATGTCCCTTACATTGGGGGTCAGTGGGAAGAATGTCCCTTACATTGGGGGTCAGTGGGAAGAATGTCCCTTACATTGGGGGTCAGTGGGAAGAATGTCCCTTACATTGGGGGTCAGTGGGAAGAATGTCCCTTACA